CGACGCATTCAAATTCGAAACGAAAAGAAGAGAAAACAAAACAAAACAAAACAAAACAAAAAAAAAAGAAAAAAAGAAGAAGAAATTTCCAATGTGCGCTGCTGAGTACGCGTCGTGAATATTAAATTCCAATTCGTAAAATTCAACGCGACCAAGTTTTCATCATCTTCATCTTCTTCTCAACCATCATCTTCTTGTTCAACTCGTTCTGCGATCGAATCCATCACGGAAATTCGCAATCGAAGAAACAAGAACGAGAGGTAAATCTGAAGATGTCGAAGCAGGAAGAACCAGTCGTGGGAGTTCCGTACTACGTGGCGCAGAATCCTTATCAGGCAGGCGCAATTCCCCCAAACGCCTTCGTCGGAGATCCCAAGGGAATTCCGATCCAGCAGACCATTTACAGAGACACTCCCGCCCCTTTTAGCTGCGTCTACTGCGGCAATTCTGGTCTCACTTCCGTCAGGTTTTTCGCGAAAATTCGTCCTTATATTATATATATATATATATATATATTATATAATTGCATTTATGTTCTAGTTTTCTTTAATCCGTTGTTGTTCCATGTCTATCGGATGTGCTCAAGTTTTCATTTCAAAGATTTCGTCTTTTAATTCCCTGTTATTGTGCGGAAAATTGATACTCATCTATTCAAATTGAGTACCTTAGAACTCGAAAATTCAAGTTTTCGTTCTATCTTAAAAAAAAAAAAAAAAAAACTTCCTTTTGTTTGACTCGGGAGACAAAGTGGAAAAAAGAAAAAGAAAAAAAAAAGGCGTACTTGGAGTTATGTAAGAATTTCAAGGTTGTGATGATTGTATGATATGCATAAATTAGTTGGTTTTTGATGCCTAAATTAGTTGGTTTTTGGTGCCTTCTTTTTTTATCCCCTTTTTATGATAGAATGTCTAGTTACCAAAATTAAATTAACTGATTTCCACGAAAGATTTGGCCTTTGGCAATGCCATACATAATGAAATGCTTGTTGTCACCTGTTGTCACCGGAATTTTGTCATTAGAGGTAAAAGGAAGTGTTTTGACTAAACTGTTAATGTCATCTTTCTTCAAAAGTATATTATCATGGATGAAATTGAAGAATTGTTGATGGGTTTGTATGAGAAGATTTATCCAGTTAAAGAATAATGTGAGGCCATAGTAATGGCTAATTGGAAAGTAATCGCAAAATTTGATGGTTTTATGTTTTCAATTTTGCTTTTGGTGTGAATAGAGTACTAGGTATCTGCAAAACATTTCTCACGCTCTTAACTTGTGTTTTTTGTAATCCAGATCGAAGCCGAGTTTGGCAGCTGTTGTTGGTTGCATGATGCCGATGATGCTTGGAATTTGCTTTCTCTGCCCTTCAATGGATTGTCTCTGGCATAAGTATCATTATTGCCCAAACTGCAAGGAAAAGGTACCTACCTGGCTTCTCTCTTGTTATTTTACCATTCTTCTTTTTTGGTGGATTGTCCCTGTCAAGATTTCATCATAGAATTAATTCGTTCCCTTCATGATAAATGAATCTCTACATCAGAAAGCTAACACAGTTGCTGTTATGCTGTATGGTTTCTTATTTAGGTTGCCGATTTCGAGAAATCAGATGTTTGTGCTGTGATGGATCCGCCACACTGGACTCAGGAAAGCTTTGCATTGCCTGCAGCGATATAAGTTTGTTCTGCATACTGTAACTCTGCTGTGTTTCGCCTTACTTTCTCATCTGATTGTTTGGAACCACAGGGAATGCTTTCTCGTACATATATTCTTTAAGTGCGGTTGTAAAAGAACAATATATTTTCTAAGTATATTAATACTATTCTGTTTGCCAGGATGTTATAATTATTGTTCATAGTTGTTTATACAACTAAATTGCTCGCTAACTTTGAAAAATAAATGGCATCGAATGTTTATATGGTTGAACTCGTCTCTCATCCTTTGGCAATGTCCCATACTGATTGATCGATGAGGTAATAGCTCAGAAATACTTTTCAGTTGTCGGTTTCCTTGTTGAAATTTGAACGCATTGCCTAGAGTGTGTTTGGTTGGAAGGAAAGATGGATTCATATTGTTTGGTTGGAAGGAGAGAGGAAGGGAGAAGGGTAAAGGGAGAGGATCACTCCATTGTTTGGTTTGAGTCCTGAGGGAGGGGAGAATTTAAAAATGTTATTTTACCAAATTGAATCTTTCCTGGAAAGTCCTTCAAGAAATCCATCTCTTTCAAGTTTAAAAATAGTATTTCGCACTCTAAAGAATTATTGACAAATGAAAAATAGTAATTAGACAAATAACTATCATCCATTCTTTAAATTCTCCTTTTTTCTTATCAAACAACATTAAGAATGACTATATTCCTCTCAATCATTCACATTTCTCATTCCTCCAATTCTCTACGTTTTAGAAGAATTTAACTAATCTATATTACGTGAAAGATAATATTTTGGTCCTCTTTTTTGGTGCGTGTGTCTTGTGTTGAGGGTAGTGAAATGTTGCTGCCATTGTTTTAAGACATTAACCGTAACGCTTAAACCTTGATCTTAATCTACTTTTTCGAAGATTCAATTTCACCGCTAACCGTAAATTCCATTACCTCCTCCTCCTCCTATTCCTTGTGCCTTTTGTTTCGGTTCCGAGCCCCCTAGAGAAGAACTTGATGAGTATTACTCAACCTTGACGCGCAAAGCATGTCATTCATAAAAGACGCATATAGAGATTACTAGTCATGCGGAAAATGAACCTGAGAACTCATCAAAAAACACTTGAATTCAATAAATAAACACGCATTTAAAGAGTTTTCTCGCAGAGACAATGATATGTGCCCAATTTACTCAAAAAAAAAAAAAAAACGCGAATGTCTGTCGGCAGTTGCCATTGAATTCTGGTCTCTAAGCGGAGTGAAGTCATAGTAGGTTAAGACTTTCACTGTTGACCTGTAAAAGAATAACACTAGTGAAGTGGTTACCTACTTAATTACCTCAGTTTTGTGGACGAGCTGCAGTAGTAGCACAGTAGTCGTGGAAGAAGAGGTCCGGCATGAGAGAAAAGAGCCTGTCTTGATAGCCAAGGAGACTGCCCAAATACCACACAAGGATTCTCATATAACCAATTACAACCATATTTTATCATAACCAATTATACAATATGTTTCATATATATCCAAAATCACAGAAAACGAAGAGCCGAGTCTTTAATTAAGATAGTGATGAGACTCCTTGAAGAGGTTGCAGGCAAGTCATCCTTGGCTACAAAACGGAAAGGGCTCCTTATCCTCATGTAGGACCTTCCTTCCTAACAAAAACTAGAAACATCTTTCTCGAGTGTTGATTGATTTGTCGAATGGAGCCCTCTATTTATAGACAAATCATGATGAGAAGTATTGTATTGTGTTTGTGGATTAGATTAGGGTCATCACGTAGATAAATTAGCATCGCCATCAATCTGCATGATATGTCGAATTATTCCAGAATTTGCATGGCCCAACGTAAGCTGCCCATGTCCAGTGATGGGTCTAGAACATGATGATGATGGTGATGATGATGATTCTCTTCAAGATAAGGGTTTCTGCTCCCAACAAATGCCCATGGCCTTTATAAATACTAGTATAATTATTAATTCTCACATGTCGCTCTGCCATTGCTCAGACTTTCTGCCTCTTGGCTAGGCCAAAGGGCTTTCTCAAATAATATATAGCTTTTATTGTCATTTTCCGTTTATGGTAATAGATCCTTTCATTCGTGGCAATGAAATATGTGGTTTTGAGTTTTAGGGGATTCGAGAACATAATCTTCAAAAGTGATATTTTATTTCTTTAGTTACATCTTCGTTTCATTATCTTTTTCCAATTCAAAATTCCAAGGATGGTCAACCCAAGCCACATGTCCGTCATCCCATTAGGGAACCACACACACATACAATTAATATGATATATATATATATATATGTATATATAATATTCTCACGTACTAAATTTTAGCAAAAACACGTCCTCCTTTGACTGACCATGCTTTTTCAATATGGGTCATTATCATCTCCATTGGTTGTGAATGGAAAATCTTTGATTTGTGTGGATAGCACAGTTTGACAGGAATCCATGCAAATACTTGGCATTTCAACCCATGTTTAAAGCAAGATGTTGAATTCCTAACTACCATCGGAAAGAAAGAACATAATTTATACTATTTTATAATATTTACAGATATCTATATGTATCTATATTTATATATCGTATTCATGTTCTTCCTCTTCTCTTGGTCGGTTCCTCAAAAAGGGCAAAAATTATGGAGAATGGAAGTGCCAGGCATACTTCTTGGCACTTCCGATTTCCAGGATAAGTTGGTTCTCTTTTTGCCCTTTTGTCACAGAGAATGAGATTAAGCAAAAGAAAACATTAACTAACTACAGGTCTATGCTAAGGGGGGATTATTAAAAAGAAAACGAAAATGCTAAGAGAGGCCAATATATAATATCAGCTTTGCTTTAGGCACGCCTGCATAAATATAATATGACCCCTTCTCGTTCTTTAATTTGATTGAACATCAAAATTCTATTTTTCCACATTTATAATTTCCTTTGCTGTATCTAATAATCTATCATGAACAGAAACATGACTGAACCCTTTCAAGTGGATCCATTTGATTTATATCATACGTTGGGCCAAATTTGTGTGGAAGAAGAATCATTTTACACTTACACGGCCCAAAAACAAGGAACACAATTTTGAGTTTTGGATTATTTTCACTCCTGAAATTTAACCCTTTAAATTTTAAAACTCTCATTTTACTCTCTAAATTTTAAATTATTCTTATTTAACCTCTTTATTATAATTTTTACTAAAATCAGACCAAAATAGACAAAATTAAGTTGCAGTCATATGATTTTTATATATTTTTTTAACAGAAATTCAAACAGAAAGGTCACGTGATTTTATTATTTTTTTTTTCTATCATTTTTAACAAAAATTACAATAGAATGGGTTAAGTGCGAACAATTTAAAATTTAAGGAGCAAAGTGAGAATTTTTAAAGCTTAGAATAAAAAGAAAATGACACTAAAATTCAGAGAGCATAAGTGATGATAATCCTTAAGTTTTTAACATAGAAATTAATAAAAGTAGTAGCTAGTTGGGAGACTTTCCATTTTCATGGCGCATATCTAATCCTTCTCATTTTCTGGTAGTTATGAATTATGATCCACATCCAAGAAATTAGCTTCACAATGCATGTCATCCTACGTCCTACCACAGTACTTTTCCTATATTGTAATCTGGTATTTTTGGCAACATAGAAAATATTTATAAGCGATGAGATGTTGATTTTTTTTTTAAATTTATGTACGCATTAATTATTAAGAAACTATAGTGTGACAATATTGCTATTCAAATGGAGTTGCAAGGAGAACGTGGCTTTATGCATTTTGCAACTTTTTGCCGATCGCAATTCGCAGGGGTATTGGCTCTGCTATCCTCTCTCTTTCGGTTATATTCTTTTCTCTTGTTGTCGTTTCCGCTATCCTCTCTCTTTCAGTTATATTCTTTTCTTTCTCTTGTTGTCTTTTCAAATAAGGGCATTTCTATGGTAGGGGGCAGTACTTTCTCTCTACCTATAAGATACACTATGAGAACTGTGGATGGCGATCCAAGGGCTACGAGGAAGTAAGCTTATATAAGAGCAAATAATTCTGGATGTTGGGGATTGAATAACATCAGTAAACTCCAACTTCTACTTTAGATTTTTTTTTTTTTTCAAAAAAAGCTTTTAAAGCTTGTTCGGTTACATTTTTGAATTATGGTGACTTGAGTATAAATTTTGAGTTAAATTTAAGTTAAAGTTGTAACTTGAGTTTGTGTTTAGATGTGCACATTTGAGTTATGATTTGAATTGATAATTTATTTGAATTTGTGTTTGAGTGGGTCAAAACTTGAATTTGTATTTAGATAGTATTTTAATAAAAACTCAATGATGATAAAAAATTTTAATAGGATATATGGGTAGGGTTTTATTCGTCTTTTCGTTGTGAACGCATAAAAAAATCATCTCAATTAGAATTAAAACGAAAAAGTTATGACATTTTTAATAATAGAAAAATATTATTCATTAACTTGAGTTAAAAGGGGAAACTTGAACTCAAGTTAAAACTTAGTTCAAATTAAAATTTTACAAACGAACATGAACTTAAATAAAATTGTAATTGAGTTTAAACTTTTTTTGAATTTTATTTTAAAAGAACAAACCCTAATGTTCTAAAGATTGAACTTCTTCACAAAATAAACTTCATCTTCCTGAAAGAATTCCGCCAGTGAAGAATCAATCAAAAATAAAAAATAAAAAATGAAAACCTTCCACGGTAAATATGATTAAACAAAACGGCACTAATATTCCTTCTAAGAAACGAAATCAGATTAAAAGACCCAGATTTGCTCATCAACTCCGGCGAACTCCTCCACAACTCTGACGAACTCCTCTACCCTGACGACAATTGTGAGCAATATTTGCACCTCTTGAACTCTGAGTTAAAATTTTCCAAGTTGAGCCCATAAACATCGACCAAATAACTTGTAAAAGTGAAGATCTGCTTTCATTAATTTGATTTGAAATTAATTGAACAAGTGGATTTTAATTTAATTTAATTGAATATCTCTATTGTTCTGATCATTAAATAAGGTTAGTTTGGGTTTTGGATTGGTACTTTGGAAAGAAATAATCTGGTTTGAGAGAAATTCTCAAACTCAAATTCTGACGAGAAATCCTCAAAGGAATGTTTGGTTGCCAAGAAATTTGTTGACGGTATTTTTCCGTCAACTCGTGATTACCTCTCCAGAAACGACACGCGTTGACACTCACAGTC